AGGAACTACAGCCATGCCCTAGGTGTTGAAGCTGTCAGTACCCAGCCTTCTTTGCCCACCCTCTCCTGACAGCACAGTCTTCTCATGGCAGAGCATATGGTTGGTCTGTAGCAAAACGTACAGGATCCAGATCATCCCTTCCCTGGAGTCAACAGAGTGCCCTTTCTGGGATCCCAACAGAAAGAGGGGTGTCTCCAGTTAGGAGTCTGGCTCTCGTGTCTGAAAGAAAGGACAAAATACTTTGAATTGTATTTAAAGGTATTGAATGAAGGAGACAGAAGTAGGAAGTTCTGTGAGCATGCTGTTTGTGTAGCAGAGAGAAGTGTGAGCATCTGGAGATACAATAAAGAGTTGAGTGAGAGGGAATGGCAGATGATTTAATCGTCTGTGAAAGACAAGGTGGGAGGGAAGGGGTGGGTAGAAAGACATGAGGCAAAAGAATAACTTCAAGATGAAAAACAGAACACAAAGCAGGCCAAGAGGAAAAGGAATAGTGAATTATATACTTTAAATAAAGTATGACAAGGTAATGGGAGAAAAACACAGGAAAATCTTAGGCATAGAGTAGGCAAAATGAGTATGGAAAAGAAACAGTGGAAAGAGAAATGGGAAACAGTGAGCAGTCCATATTAGTGGGTACTGCTAGAACAGTAGTGCTATAGCAGAAGGTGAAATGAAAAGAAAAATTCAAAGGAGATCTAACGGGCCAAATTGAAATGGGACTGCATTTATTAAAGCCTACTCAGAATCACTGTATGAATTACTGATTTGAGCCTTTAAAGATGTGCACCGTCTAGTGAAACAGCCAATTTAAAATATAAGTATTTTCATAATACCACGGCTTTTTTTTTTTTTTCCAAAAGAGTGATTCAGATTTTATAGTGTCAGAGGAAAAGACAGTCTGTCTTCAGAGGTGTTCTGATAGATTGCAAGTTCATGAGCAGTTTTCATAGTTTCCTAAGAAATTTGCAGAGTTGGATGAGGTAATTCTGAGAGTATTGACACTTGCACTGTAAAGCACGTTGTCTGTGAAAAAGACCATGTTTGCATGCCATTGTTGCCAACATGAAAATTGTGCAAAGAACACACTTTCATACTAACCCACAGGACCACAGCACACATCTCAAAGAGGTAACAGATTCAGCCTCGTTTACTAACTCAAAAAGAAATCTGTTAAAAAGTTATTGTGGCCGCTTGATTGCATGTTTTGATAAACTTCCATGTTACGCATGTGGTAAGCTCAGTGCATGCTTTTAACTGATATGATGTTGTACTTCCTTAGGGTCCTTACTTCAGCTACACCAGTCTTTCCTCTAGCACGTTGAATGAAGAACTTCTGTGTAACTGTGCTTGGTATGTGCTTATGTATGGTGATGTTTAGCATCTCTGTTACTTTGTTTTCTCAAATTGCTTGTGTTTGCTAACATTATTGATGACTGAAATACTGGAATTGATGTACAAGAAGGGAAATAGATTAACAGATTAGCATCTAAATTCCTAGAAAAGCAGAAATTTATGATGGATTTGTGCTGATGTCACCATTGAACTGGATACAGGATTTCAGTTCCAAGCCAGTATAGAAAGTATTCATACTCATAAATCCACCAGGGAGTATAGAACACTTTGGCCGAGTATTCAGCCTCTGTTGAATGAAAGTCAAGTACCAGATGAGAATGGAAATTAAATTTCCTCTCATGAAGAGAGCAAAAACACCACAGAGTTCATCTCTAAATGGAGAGTACAGAGAACATGAGGCAGAATGCTGTACTTAGGACCGGTGCTCTCCTATTTTCACACATTTTTCTTACTCTGCCTCAGACTTTGAAGCTAAATTTGTTTTTTTAAAGGTCTGATAACTTTGACTATGTTCAAAGTGCTTAATTTAGACATGTTCCATCAGGACTATTCAGGCAGATAGAGACCAGTGCCTCAAGGTCCATAAAGACATTGTGGAAAAGAACAACATTTGACAAAATATGTATTTATTTTATAAGCAAATTCTTTGTAGCAATTATCTGTCATTTTTATTCGACTCAACACTCTAAAATTCTTGTGATGATATTTTTTTCTGTTAAACTGAGATGTAAATCCTTTCATTAGGCCTGGAAATATGATTGCTATTCACACCAGCATTGTACCTTTGAAGATAACTTCTGGGAAAATTATATATTTGTCATTCTGCAGTCCAGGAGCCTAAATTACTTTCAAGTTACTCTTTTCTAAACTAATAATTTTTTTTGTTTGCTTGTTTTCTAATGCTAGGACCTTCTCATACTTAAGAACTCAATTTCTGTAATCGAAAAAGGAGTCTTGTTCTGAAGTCATTGGCACAGTGTATGTGAAAGCAGAAATGTAACTGTAAGGTTTCCAAGAGGCTTCATTGTCTCCTGAAAACAAAGAGGAAAAATCCAATGCAGAAACTCCCTGCACAGCAGTACTTTGAGGGAGCATCAGTGGGCAGCCTCCAGTCAAAACACCCAGCTGCCTGTCCAGACCATGGAGTAATTCAAAATCATTAATCTCATCCTTATGTTAGAGCTGTCTCCCGGATATAGCAAGCTATTGTAATTCAGTATTGCCTTGGGTAAAGCTCCTGTGTGAGAAATGCCTGGCAGCATGTCATTTCCCCAGCAGCACCAAGAGACAGGGAAGCTCTGGCTGCTGCTGCAGAACTGCAGAGTCGCCTGCCAGGAGGGTGAAGTTTGGACCTGAACTTCTGTCCATCCTTGCAGGCACTGCTGATCTAAGCACCATGTCCTGAAGCTGTCCCCGTGGCGGTGGGGCATGTGGAAAACCAAGGAGCAGAGGCTGTTAATTGTACCCACAATTTAGGACAGAAGTGGGCAAATTGTGTGCCAGAATCTATGGTGTGAGATTTCCAAAAATCACATAAGAATGGAAGATGTCTTGTGCTTTTCAGAAATCAGAACGCAGACCTGAAGGCTCTCATTGCTTCTAAGCCAGCCTTTGTGATGCCTTATAGAGTGTGTTGTGATTTTTCAATGGCAAAATCGATGCCTGTTGTTAGTCCACTGCATGCTGTCCTGTAGCCTCTGAAATGTAATTAATAGAAGAACATCGCCATCACATGCCCTACAAACCCCTGGAAATGGAATTTTCCCTGGATGGTTTGGGAAGACTGTGTAATTACCATTTCAGAGCTATTTTGAAAAAGAACCTTTTTGGAAAACTGTGCAGTCTTTGGTGTCTTAAACCTTCGTAGATGGTTATATTGGGGGGTTATATTTCTGGACACAGTCCCAAAACCATTTTACCTCTAGACTCCTATTTAGGGAGTCTATTAGCATCTTCTGAAATGTGAAGTCATTAGACAAAACCTACCTTCCATCAGATAACGTTCCTGTCCACCAGCTTCTGGCTTCTTCAGCTTCTGTTTGTTTAATTTGTTTTGGTTTTTTTCATGCAAAATATCCAAGTACATCAAGGCTTTGTAGTTTACTTTTTCAAATTGGTCACAGCCCAATAGTAGAGGTTTGTATTACATTTTCCAGTGTCCTTTCAAAAATTTGATACATTCTATTTTTCTAAGGCCCTAGAGTAAATTTCAGATGTGCAGGATGGGTTGGGATATTTTTTCCCGTTTAGAAGGATTGGCTAGTTTCTTGCATATTACGACTCCAAGCAAATGCTTATAGTTTTTTCCATCTTACATGTATGCCAATGAACAGTTCTTTCCCACACTTTAAATCATCTGAGATCTGCAGTACATTAAAGTAAGCACTAACTCACCATATCAGTGTAAAACAGCCCTGTATTAGCTGCAGCTATGAACAGCAAAAATTGCTTCATACATCAGGGGAAATGAGCAGAATCTACCATCAGGTTTCTGCCAGATAGTAAACTGGGTGTGCTTCTAAAATAGTAAGTGGTTCTAACCTAACAGATAGCCCACTGCCAGACCTAGTACTGGATAAATTGCAGCTTCAAATATATACTCTACAAAAAGGATTCTTATCTGTTCAATAAAATGGTTACAATTCAAACTAGTACAGTATGAAATCAATATGAAAGTAATTTAGGCCTCGTCCCAGACAATTTACAGTGGTTCTGTTGTGAACTGATATGATCATGCATCAGTGTCTGTTGCATAGGGTGATACTCAGTATTTCTGTGGTGACACAGGCACCAGGAGGTATGAGAAATCTGGTTAGTAATTAGTAATACTGGTAATACATTTCCTTCAGGTCAGCAGGCACAGTTGTAAAAGGCATGTCTGGTCAGCACTGTCACATAGAGACATCTGCATTAGCTAAAAATGATCCTCTTTGAAGTCACAGTGCAACTGTAGAGCTGCAAAATGAGGTCTTTGGAGTGCCTGGTGAGCCTCTACTTTGGGGACTCACCCACGGGGTCTTTCAGCACCGTAAGTCTAAGCTAATGCAGTAGTTAATTGATGAAAATTATCTTAGCGTTAGAAAGCTTCCTTTAATAAAGCTCCATGGTTAACGCTAAACCTACTGTAGATAACATCAATGGGTGTTAAGTGCCAAAAAAGTAGTCATGGCAAAAATTGCTCCTCTTGTTACATCCTCAAACTCAGTCCTACCTCCCCTAGTTCATTTCTGTATATTTTGCCCCTGCTTTGGGTAGGTAGCAGCAGTAATTTAGGTGAATGAAGGGAATTTATTAAAATAAAATGTTCCCTCATGCCCTCTTATTAGGAGCCACAACTGTGGTCCATGAAAAGGTCAGCTTCTGCTAAATCCTGAAGTAACCACAAGGTTACCTAAGCATCCTAAGTATCAGCCTCTTGGGGACATTTGGTTCTTTATGGCAATTGTAGACTGGAATAAAGCTATTCTGGTTTACAGGAATCAGGCTCACAAATATGTGAATTTAAGGCAAACTTTTTATATACATATTCTTGCCCTTTGCTGCAGGTTTTTAACCTCCTGCTAGCATTTGTCCTTTGCAGCAACAAACCAGCTAGTCGTGATTGTATTGCAGGATTTTTACTGTTCAGCAAGTAATAAGTAAAAAGAGCTTTTTAACCTGTTTGAGAATTGGTGTGGACTGGATGCTTAATCAAAAATCCTTCAGCTGGAAGGTTAATTGAAGAGACAAGGAACATACTTGGGACATGTGAAAGGAACTGAAGAAAGTGAGTGTTACAAATATTTAGTGTTTAATTTTTCTACTTTAATTGGCAAGCTGTAAGTTGAGTCTCTTAAACAATAGATAGACTTTATATTCTTTAAAAAAAAAGAAATTCAAGTTTACCTAGTGTGGAAATGAAGACACGCTATAGAAAAATTATCCTTGTCTGTGTATCTAATAAAATCTTAATTATTTTAATCGATATTTTACCTAAATTATAATGTTAAAAGAGATACAGGCCCCATGTCATAAAAAGAATTACTGCTTGCCATTTTTCCTGTGGCCTTTGCCACCATCTTCCACTTAAGTGGACACATAAAGTAAGTCCAATGAATCACCCTCCAGAAGTGTTTTGTTTCTCTCTGATGATTATTAATGGGGACCAGATTATTCCCTTACCAGTGGAGTCAGAAAAAAACAGTATATCTAGTGTTTGTTGTATGGGTCTTTTTATCACTGTGGTACTTTTCCCTAAGACATGAGGAATTTTTGGATGTTCTGTCCATTATTAACATTATGGCAGTGTACTAATTAATGCCGTGACTTAAAAAGCTGCTTGTCATCCCATTTGTTTCCAGTTTTGATTTCAGAATAGGAGCTACAAGAAAGTTAGTAAGAATTAACTATTAAGAAGCATTTTGTGTAGTACATATCTAGAGAAATAAGCCCAGAGAGCAAGTTTAATTTAGAGTTTAGCACTTGCAAATGGAATAAAACAGGGTAAACAAACGCAAGGCAAATCCCTCCTTATTGTTAGTGTTAGAGTAATTTTCTTCTTTTTCTCTGCAGGCCTGATGACATCAATAGGAAAAGCCGGAAACTGAACAGTCAAACGAGTACTGAAGAGCCAGAGCTGCAGGAATTCTTCCTCTAAACTACAACTCATGATGTCTCACTTTGTTTGAAATAACTGAAATATATCCTTTTGAAACACTAATATGAGACATACCCGTCACCAGCAAACCAGCAGCTGTTAGGATGCCTTAATTTGTAGCAGTTAGACCATATACAAAACTTTTTTATGATATATGTGTATATGTAACTTGTTTGTAAGCTGTGCTGTGGAAAGGCATGGGTGAACAAAAGTAACAGTTTGAAAATTGTTGTGACACAGGCAACCTCCAAAATGTTTGTTGGGCCACAGAACACATTTTGTATTTTGTGTCTTGCATGGGTATATTGTCATATATCTTCATTTCCCTTTGTCAATGGCATATACTGTCAAAATTTCAGCCAGGACTCTGCCTGCTCAGTTCCTTGAGACCAAGGCAAAAGTATTGACTTCTTGGGTATGTTTTGTCTGTTGTTATTTCTATTTTTTGTAAAAAGAAAATAAAGACAGTGTTAATAGGACACACTGAGTGCAGATACTTCTCATATTTCACTGTTTCATCTTTAGAGCTTTAAGGGTTTTATTGGGCTTTTTGGTGTTCATTTGGTAATAAGACCAGAATCATCTAGTTCCAACCTCCCTGCAATGGGCAGGGATGTAAAAAAAATTATAAGATTATGCAAATTAAATTACTGCAATTGCAGAACTAGTAAGTAAATAATGTGAACACTCAGGAGGAGCTTGCTAAGTACAAAGGAATTGCCTTCCATGCACTTTCTCTTTCCTGTTTTTTACTGTGTTCATCTTGACCATTGGGCTTCCTTTCTGGTGAGTGAGAAGAGAGAGGGACTTCCTGAATGTGATTCATCCCACATATTACAGTTATTTATAGAAAACCCAGTCCCTTCCTACTTACTTCAGGGAAAGTTGAGGTAATAGAGCTCTTGGAAGAGTTACCTAGTATTTGGATGTGTGTCTTTCTTTGAGACAGTTTTTCAGAGTGATGCCATGTTTGGCCACACAGCTGCCATGGACCAGGATGACTTAATACCCCAGGCAGTCTGCTTATAGTCTTTGGATAAGCACAAAGGACTACTGGATAAAATTGAGCCAATTGAGAGATCAGCAAAAAACCCCACAAATAGAAATAATAAAAGTGTGCACTTACAGATATGAAATTCTGAGTTTCTTTCCATAGTTCTTATCTGTCACTTGGCAACACTTTGATTTTTGGGCTAAAGTAATAAACCTAGCACTCTAGCTGACCTGAGCTGTGTTGTTTAAAGAAACAACCAAACCTCCAAAAATATCTGTCAGCCAGGAACAGCAATACCTCTAACTGGGCCTCCTGTCATCTGTGTATGCATGAAAAATCTGAATGCAAAGTGAGAAGAGACACATGGGCTGAAAGAGAGCATAATAAGGAAAAATCCTGTGTCTGATAGATGGGCTTAAAACAAATAGGTAATTTGCATTTTTGAGAGTGTGAAAAGTGTTGATTGTGATCATGTGAATGGCAGAAGCAGCAGCCCTGCTGAATCATCTTGACTGACTGGAGATGTGTAAAGTCAGCTACATCTATCCGTAGTGTCCAGCTGAAGCAGGGGATAAAACTGAACTTCTGTAAAAAAAATTGAGACAGATCAAGGTGTAAGTATTGTCAAATCCTGGAAGAAAGAAATTGCCTCCTCTGGAAACCAAGGATTTAAAAGTTACCTGCTCTCTGCTGGGTAGCAATTTCTGCAGAGTATATCTTCATATAGTACATGGTGAATCAAATTATGCCAGTATCATAGGGCAATAGAGATTACTAAATGAGATAGGATTGGGATGCCAGAAGATGTTTGGCATCTGTGGTTAAAGACATCCACGAGGTAATTGATATTGTGTCAAAGACTCCCATCCCAGATAATTGGATAACTGAATACAGCTGGAGGGGGCTGGGTGTTAGGGGTAAGAGCTATATGTGCTGTTCATATGGCTGTCCACAATTCCTGAGCAGGTTGGGGCAGAAAGCAGTTTCAGGGCTAGCTAGTGCAAAAGAGAGGTCAACTTGATGTAAGCGTGAAAAGTAGTGTCTGGAGGATTTTATCAGTGTAGAAGGTGAACTCATGTTGTATAAACTGCTGATGTTATTGTTCCTAATTTGTAGTTTCTTTCCTGCCTAGGGCCCCAAAGCCTACACATGATGCACTCTGATGTCATTCCTGTTACAGAAATGCTGATTCTCTGATCTTCAGCTGGATGAAGTGTGTGCTCTGCATATTTGTGTCCTTAGTAGCTATAGAATCCAGGTGTCATAACTCCTGTTTGGTTTATAATCCTCCCGGCAGATCCCTCCTGGCACGAGGCTAAGTCAGGCTTCTGTCAGCAAAGCATAAGCATTTTGCAGAGGAAGAAGAGCTGATCACGGATTTTCCAGCAAACATCACAAAATTATCAGTTAGCCAAAGCTTTTGACAGGAGTAAAAACCCTTGGCAGAAAAGGTTCTCCCCTGCCCACTCAGAAATTTTTGATCAAAAGAAATAAGTCATTTGCCAGTGAACCAATGCATGTCCTAGTGAAACTGTATCTGTGGACACCACAGATAGAAGGAATGGCTTTTCATGTTCTGTTACCCCCAGATGTCAGAATAAGACCTCTCTGTGTTTGTCCTGTAGTTCTGTACCAAAGCTGATAAATAGGGTGTTGGAGAGCCCAGTTTCTTGTAACCTCTGCCTCTTCTTTTTTGAAGAATGGAAATTATTTGCTAGGAGCCTTGTTTTTTTCATGGTTGTCTGATTCATTTCTTTGTTTCAGGTATTTGAGATGGGCAGCATATGGATACATGCAGTATCAAAACTGCAAGTATGGTACTTTTATTTCATCAGCAGGATAGTGGGCTATGCTTTGTCCTGCATTAGTAGAGCAATGTTTTAGTGGTATTTTATTTATTTGCCTTTCGGTCTCCATATTAGAGGACAAATACATTGGTTTACTAGGTTACTAATGAGTAAAATAAGTATAGTCAGCATAGTTGGTATGTGAAGGAGATAGGTTAGACAAACAGTTTTGATTTAATATTCATTTCACTATAACTGTCATTCAGAAACCTTTTCGTAACATCAAGCTGACATAAGATCAATGGCATGACAAAATACAATTGACAGCATAACAGTAAAAAAAAATACTCCAACATCCATTTATTTATAACAAAATGGTTACTGTCTCATAAACACATTCTCTGAGAGCTGATTTACTGCATATTTCATCACCTGCCATTACAGCAAAGTCAGAATATGGCCATGCAACACAGTCAAAGTAAAAATGTCAGCACATCATATGCTAGGTATGAATTAATGGATCTCATGGTGAGACAACTATTGTTTCCATCTAGACTAAGATCAGCTCCTAGTAACCTTGAAATATTTCTTACCCTTTTAAAAACCTACCTGATGAAAAATTGACAGAAAGGTCTGCTAAAAATCTAGTCCCTGCATCAAACAGCAAGGCTTAATTGTCTGTCATGAAATGGTTTCTCAGTGACATTAATAGGAATAATTTCTCAAATTGTATTGCATTTCCTATTGTAAATTCAGAAACATCAACTGTACCCAAGTATAACCTGTTGCATAATTAGCTTTTGTATAACCTTGTTTCTGCGTTCATAAATGCATTTTGAGGTTGCAGATAAGTACACAATTGTGCATGAGAAGTAAGTATAGCACATGCCCTGTAACCAAAATATCTGTCAAACACAGAACTATGGTGAGTGTAAATTTCCCAAGTGAAAAAGCCCAAGCACTGTTTAACCTGCAGTTCATCCTCTGCCTCTGCACAATATCACTGACAATGCATATCACTTTCATGCATTCACCAGACATACTGCCCACTATTTTTACCCATCTTTTCTTTGTTATATGTAATAGTCAATATATAAGTTTGACCCAACTATCAGAGACTGCAGCCAGAGAAATCAGGTAGGTTCTTAACATGCTGCACAACCTCTTCCAGATAAAGAAGGGGTGTTACCTACAGAGCATTCACCATCCATCCTCCTTGCACACATTTAATAATGCACCATCAGTTTTCCAGATACTCCAGATTTTGTAACGTGGCTGCTTTTGTCTAACATATATGGACAGCTATAAATACTCGCTCAAGCCATCTGCTTCCTGAAGAAAACATTATTCTTTGTCTCTGACGTCTGCACAGCCACTTCCTTTCCCACTTTGACTGATAGGTGTTTTGCCTGTACACTGGCAAGCAGCATACAGGAGGAAGGAAAATAATTATTCTACGTATATTTGGGAAACTGATAAGAAATCCTGAGGCTGTTGGAACACAGAGCTAGCTTTTATGTGTCTTTTTTTTTGTCAGTCAGCAATAGTGCTCCAAGAAAAGACAAAATAAAATCATGTGGGCCTGCAAGGGAAGAGGCCTGAAAGGAGTTTACCCTCCTTCCTGTATAGGCATGAACTTAAACTTACATGTAGATGGGTTACAGATATCTGTAGAACCTGGAAAAACTGCAGAAAAGAGACCAACTCAGGGGTTTTGCAGTGCAAAAAGTTGTGGCCCAGCCATACATATCTGCATATGCATGCAATAGTTACCTGTACAGAGATGCAGTAGAAGAATCTACATTTTTTCTTCTCAGCTGTGGATATGGACAGCAATCCTAGAACTATATTAAACAATGAAAGTGTGCAAGTGCAAAGCCATAAGGAAACACTGAAAAGGAGTTGCTTACTGGAAAAAGAAAAAGAAAAAAAAAGTGACAAAGACAAGACTGTCTTCTGTATACAGCTAAAAAGGAAGATGGGAATAAATCCCCTCCTTCTTGCTCTGCACATTGTCTACTATGGGTAGAACAAGGAGGAGTGAATATAGAACTGTAGCAAAGGGGATGGAGGTTGTATGTTAGCAGAACTTCCCACAGGTAATGGTAGCACTGGAATCAGTAGCCTGGAGGAATCACAGAATCGTAGGGGTTGGAAGGGACCTCAGGAGATCATCTAGTCCAACCCCCCTGGCCAAAGCAGGTTCCTTACACCAGGTTGCACAGGAAAGTGTCCAGGCAGCTTTTGAACATCTCCACAGATGGGAGACTCCACAGCCTAGGGAGATTGAGAGAGTTGTAATTGGAGGATTTTAGGAATAGGTGGAATAAACAAGTATCAGAAATGAC